TTTGACTCCCCCTCTATTGAGTTCTAGCAATATACCGTTCAGGGCAGTGGTGAGAGCACTCCGCCCTGTGGAGTGCCTCTATTCACATGATGTATAATAGAGTTAGCCCCATTTGTTGCCTGAATGATTCTGTTGACTAGCATCGATCGTATCCATCTACAAACACTGTCGTCAACACCAATATCTATCAAAGAGTCTATGATGGTGTCAACCTCAATGTTATTAAATGCGCCCTCGATGTCAAGAAATGCCGCCAGAGTATATTGTTTAGAGTGCAACGATCTTTCTATTAAGCTCACCACTTCATGTAAAGCAGATTCAGTCTGCCTTTGATGTATGCATGTTGTGCTGTTGAGACTGTCGCTTCACCTAACAGCGATCTTATATAAATGTCGAGAAGCCTTTCCATTGTTTTAAGCACAAAGGAGGTAAGGCTTAGGGGTCTAAAATCTTTTGCTATTTCGTGGTTTTCCTTCCTGGCTTGGGTATGAACACGACTTTTACCCTTCTCCAGCTTTTAGGAATGTAGCACAAGGTAATAGTAGCCTTAAAAATGGTCTCAAGTAACGGTGCTATCTCTTCCTTCACCCTCTGGAGCATTGCTGGGATTACGCCATCTGGTCCAGGGGATTTGAAGGGAGAGAAGCTGTTGACAGCGTAAATAATCTTTTCCCTGCTCACGATCGAGTTCAACAGTATACTGCTAGTTGAACCAGGTTCAATTGACCCTGGTGTGGGTGGATGTCGAATACATCCCGGGAAATGGAACTTGACTAACGTGTTTAGAGAATCACTAGCTGTGTTCGTCCACACCCCGTTTTCTCCCTTAATGAGTGTGATATATATGTGTGTGTTTTGATAGGATTTTGCTGAGCCTGGCTGAGTCTTTAGAGTTCTCTAAAGAAGAGCAGTAAGATTGCCAGGATTTAGTTTTAGATTTTCTCAATTCCTTTTTATAAGATCTTAGGGCGCTTTTATAAGGCGCCCAGTTTTTAGTTTTAAAGCAATTATTGTAGATTTGCCTTATTTTGTCTCTTTGGGCTCTGATATCCCCATTCCACCAGGGTGGGGATTTCTTTCTTGCTCTACTAACTGGGTTTGATCTTTCAAAGGCTTTCTTCATAACCTCTTCTAGTTTATTTACTCTATTATCACGGTCCTCAACTGTAGTGACAGTTGTAATTAGTGGGCGCTTACTTAGTTTACGCTTAAGTGTGTTACTATATCTTTCCCAATTAGTCCGGTGGGGGTTTCTGTATTTCGAGGGGGTGTTGGAAATTCCGTGCAGATCAGACGGTGATCAGACATTGAAGGCCTATCAGATACTCTCCACTCTTCTACACACCCGCTGTCGTTCTCTGACAACAGGGTTAGATCCAGCACCTCCTCCCATCCAGGAAGCCGGTTTGAACTCGGGAATATGAATGTGGGTGTATTACCTCTATTGCAGATGCTTAAGTTAGTATTTAATAAGAAGTGTAGTAAAGACTCACCTCGGTCGTTCTCCGTAGCACTACCCCATACTGGATGCCTTGCATTCGCATCGCAGCCGACGACTATAATTTGTCTGGGGTTTTTGGCTATTATCTCCTGGATTTCGGTTGGCGGACTGTCCCTATCGTGGGCCATGTATGATGAGGCCAGGAGTATACTTGGCTGTCCGGTGGTCTCTACCTTAACCATTGTTGTATCTGATGTGCTGAAATTAGAGCAAAGGAATGCATATATACCGTTCTTGATAAGAATACACGCCCGCGGTTACCCACCTCGCTCTTACAGTATAGTTTATAATTATTTATGTTTAGTCCCATGACTGTATCGTGCTTGACCCAGGGCTCTTGAATTAGGCTAATGTCTATATCCTCCTCACTGAGAAGGACAACTAGATTATCTGTAGCGCATTTGGAGTGCTGCAGATTTATTTGGGCTACTTTAAGTTTTTGGTTCAGGGTCATCTGTCAGCTTCACACCCATGAGAAGCTCACCAGCTCCATCAACCCCGGGATCTTCTTCTACCGGGCTAACCTCTCCGAGGAATACCCGCACTCTAGCCATACGGATACCGAAGCAGAGCCGATAGTCAGCCTTCTCTAAGGTGTCTAGTGATTCTGCGCAAATAGCTAGCAGAATGGGCTTATTTGTAGGCCTTCTTGGCTCTTCAACCTTTATAAGCTCCCATTCCTCGATCGCCGGTATGTCTTTATTATGCAGCTTAAGACACCGCAGCAACTTTTCGCCTGGCTCATCCATACGTAAGCTATTTGCAAATAAAAATAATTTGCAAATACCTAACTCACTGTTTATTCGACCACTGTTTATTTACCTGATTATAAAAAGGCAATAATATGACCATCGAAAAAGAAAATAAAGTTAAAAATGGCAACGTCTTGATTATAAAAAGGCAATAAGATGACCATCGAAAAAAAAAATAAACCTAAGAATGACAGCGTCTTGCGCTTATTTGCAAATAGTACCACTAATCAACACTTATTTGCGTGATTTAGTTAGTTACAAATAAAAAATCAACTCAGCGTTTATACGGCAAAGTCTACCATTTTGCAAATTGTTACTTGCAAATAAGACGTGCGTATAAACGTAGTATGTGTTTGTTTTCACCACACATTTTTGGTGAACTTTTTGTGACTCTCTCCTACTGCCAAATCCGAGCCAAATCATCTCAAGTCACAAAAATAGTCACTAATTGCTAATCTAAAATTTAGTGACTTGAGGATTCAGTAACTTAGGGCCTGTTGCTCAAAGCCTGATTAACACTAATCACTGGTTAACATCTTTATCGACGTTTTCGACTCCATGCATATAACACGGTGTCGGTAACGTCGATAACGATGTCTAACCGGGGATTAGTGTCAACCAGGCTTTGAGCAACCGGCCCTTAGTCTCATCTCAAATCACTAAATTTGAGATTAGCAATTAGTGACTATTTTTATGACTTGAGACGATTGGGGTATTCAGAAGGAGAGAGTCACAAAAAGTTCACCAAAAATGTGTCGTGAAAGCAAACACAGACAATCAACTGATAGTGGTTATGTATGCCTTTTGCCCGCGCCGCTCAAAGAGTCCCAATGGCCGAGTGGTCAAAGAATTAGTCTGGCAGCCAAGAGGATCCGGGTTCAAGTCCTCCTCGGCCGTAGAGGATTTTTAATTATTTTTTTTATTTAGTATTTTTTTTATTAGTTTTATTTTTTTTACAATGTTTAGATTTTAATGTTCTATATAAACAAAAAAATTAAATTTTTTTCAATACATTTGTATCATATTAAAGCATTTTGGTTTATTTCTTAATGAAATTCTTGTTAAACAAATTTCCTCGCTTCATTTTCGCGTTTTGTTGTTTTTTAATAAAATGGAAAGAAATAAGCTTTTCCTCCATACTTCTATTTTTGTGACCGGCTCTTAGCCAGCTGACAAATTAGTGACTTATTTTTGAGACTAGAGACGTGAGACAGCGTACTGAGGGCGTGTGTGAATCGGTAACAAAGTTTGCGGCAAGTAAATTTTTGACAACTATGAGGAGAATAAAATTTCAGTAGCTCATGAGGCTAGTGAAATTTTTGACAAATGCATAGAAAATCTTAACAATCGCAAATATTGTTGCTGTGAGTAATTTTTCGTAAAACAAAAGCTTAAATTGATGAAAAGCAATCAGTGATGGTAGATGTTTTCTTAAAATATTAATTTCACTTCAATTTGTAATAGTTTATTCCAAATAAATCTGCGGTTATCAAAAATTTACTGCTGTCAAAAAAGAGATCATTTCACACAGCAGATTGGCAAAACTGTCTCACCATAGTAAAAATATTATTCAACAGCTTTCCCCATAGAACTTTATTACCGATTCACGCACGCCCTGAATACCAAATAGGCTCAAAATCCAAGTTCACCACCAAAAGTCACTATTATACTAGGTTCACATATAAGTAGATTATCCTCATTTTCGAGCTTAACACCCTAATCTGTAATTAGAACAAGAGATTAGCCATATAAAATTCGCCCCTTGTTAATCTGTAATTATAAAATAATCTCAGATTTAACCGATAACTTTTCGGTGTCCATCCTAGTTTTATCGATTGTTTTTGCGAAAAAGAGGAGAAATGCCAAATGTAAAAATAAACAAAAATGGACGCTAGCAAGGAAAAGAGGTTCGTAAAGGTATTTTTAATAAAATGTTAAGTTAAAATATATTTATATTGCTTAATATAGCAGAAAAACGTGATCACGGTGCCACAGAGAAGAAACATAACTTTTCCTTGGGATGTGAGAATAACAAGCACAACAAATTTGACAGCTAATAATCTGAGATTTGCCTGTGTAAACGGTTAGATTAAAAAACGAGCTTTGATTGAGATAATATTGATATGTGAACATACTTTAATAGGGAGAACATTGACATTGACGCGACGGAGCTCCATCTGCCTCGCGAGACCAGGACAACAATAGCCCAACTTCGCTCTGGCTACTGCAGCAGGCTAAATTCCTACCTCAGTAGGTTAAATTCGGATGTGCCGCACGAATGTCCGGATTGCGGAGGGACCCCCCACGACTCGAAACATCTCTTCGCATGCCCGGAAAACCCCACAACCCTAACGGCGTCCCTATGGACCGACCCCATAGAGGCTGCACGTTCCTTGGGGCTGCCGTTAGTGGAACTTGACGACAACGACTGAGATATTAGCCTATCTGGGCGGGGTTGTTGTAGCCGCTACAACAACAACAACAACTATTATAGGAATATACATGATTCAACTTTCACAGGCGATTAGTTGAACGAAATTAGGCAGCCGACCAACTTCATTGTAAGCGATTAGTTGAAAGGCCGTTTACACCACGCGATTGTTGCTTTCAACTAAAAATCGCCTCATATACTTTAGTATTTTCCCATAAAATTTTTTGTAGATTAAAAATAAATAGATTCAAATAAAATCAACTTAATCGATTATCGTGCCATGAAATATCGATATTCAGAATAATCGATACGATAACGAACATTGCTAGTTGTTTACTGGTAATATTGTGATTGTGATATACTGTTCTAATTTCCTTCTAATTATGTCGGAAAATGCGAATTTACGGCAAAATTTGCAAAATGTGCCATCGATTTTCGAAATAAGAGCGGCTGAAACATTGGACTCACTTATCTACCCAGCACTGAGTAAAATAATTAACTACCTTTATTTTCGATTGGACTTCAAACTTTTGGGTGCATACAGACTAAGTGAAGAAGTTTCTTCTGTTTTAACCTTGGCCTTACAGTACTTATATATGCGAAATCGGGGCTCGTCATTTGGAGAGAGTTTCTACGGTTTACAACGCATATCTTTAGAATCGGATAAACTTGTCACGCATCGACTGCAAGTGATATCTGCCGGTATTGTCACATTTTTGCCTTACTTGGAACGAAAGCTTAAAGCACGCAGTGCACAGCATGATACATTTATTTGGCAGCGACAGCTACTGACAATTTTAAATATATATCATGCGTCCAAAGCGGTACATACATTCCTGTATCTTATAAAATACGCTTCCAGCCACTCGTCAATTTTCCGAGCTCTAAGTTTGACCTTGCGATACCCTATTGAACCGCCGAATGATAGGACAACTTACATCTTTCTTAAAATTCTGGAGGTGTTGGTATTTTTTCTGCAATTCATTCATTGGTGGTATTCTAACGATCATCGTCATCAAATGGGTGTATCATTAAAAAATCCAAACCCTCTCAAGAGTTCTATCGATAAGAGGGAAAAATACCGCAAAGGCAATTGTCCCGTATGTCTTACGAAAATAACAACTCCAACTGCATGTAGCGTTTCGGGATATGTATACTGTTGGAAATGTATAATTTCGCATTTGAAAAGCCGTATGACCTGTCCAGTTACTGGTTATCAAATCACCCCTGAAGATTTAATAACAATATACGAAACATAAATATTACTCGCAAATCGGATTTCTTCAGGAGACACGTTTATAGCTGAAACACAATGCCGGCGCCCGACGAACTCACCACAGCGAAATTCGCACTGTCAAAATTAGAACACTTGCAAGCATATATGTACATTCGTGGTCAGCTGATTAAGTCAAGTGGCATTTTGACTAGTTTTGGCTATTTTTCTAATGTTTATTTAATGGTTATATTTTTACCTGGCTTTTATTAGCTTGGGGTTAAGGCATCCAATCCCGGACCATTTTGTGAATCCCGGGCTTGCGGGATCTTAGATTGGTAATCCCGGGATCCCGGAATATTTCGGGATATTATTACCATTAAGCTCGGAACACTTTGACGACTGCAACTTCACGACGTAACGACAGCGACATCATTTTGTCGACAAATGTCGCCTTGAAGCCAGCTTCTTAAACATTTTGAAGACCTCAGCGACATAGCAAATAGCTGATTTTAAAGTTTTACATTTTGGTATATTTATTTCACAAATTGTGTATTTTTATTTAAGTAAATAAGAACACCATGAACAATCAAGAATATGTGATTAATTTTGCGACAATTTAATTTTGCAGCACTACATCTACTCATTGTCGCCGGCAAAATTAGAAATAGATTTAATTTGGCGACGTCGACAATTGCAGTCCTGCAGCCAAGATGTCGTGCTGTCGTCAAAATAATTGTGTCCGTAAGAACGTGTGTATTTAAAATTTGACAGATGCTGCTTGTCGCTTGCTGTCGTCAAAGTGTTCCGAGCTTTAATTATAATATGCTAACAAACTAGTTTTGTAGTCTTGCTTTAATGCGAATAAAATAAAAATAAATTTGTGGTTTTAAGCAAAGAAATATAAACATCTTTTTTATATCAGTTTAAAAAGCTAATTACAAACTTAATAAACTAAAAACTATGGAGTTGAAATTCATTCATATTGCAGTCGCAGTTGTTTTTACGAAAACTAAAAAAAAAATTAGAGTGTTTATACATATGTCTAGTAATATTAGTATGCCACAACATATGTATATACAGTGGTGGAAGAAATAATAGAAACTTTTTACTTTGGCCAGTTTTGGCTATATTACTTTGTTTATTCGATGTTTAATGTTTTTGTATAAAAGTCTTGCGCAATATATAACACACACTATATAAGTCCATATTTCAAAGTTTGTACAAAAATTCAACAAATTTTAACAAAATCCCCCAAAAATTTCAAACTTTTTAATCAGATTTTTTTGAAAAATTTTGGGTATGCAGTTTCATAGCCCATTATTTTTAGCGCATTGATTTTTAACATTTTTTTTTGCTGACGCTGCTAGGCATTTCCTGCCATATAGAAAGAAATTTTGAGCATGGTCGAGCATACTTTATATGGAAGAAAATGCACAACACCGCCAGCCAAATAAATTATTAAAAATCAACCAGTTTTACGTACTAAAATTTAATGGGCTATAAAACTGCGTACCCAATTTTTCAAAAAAATCTGATTGAAAAGTTGGAAATTTTTGGGGGATTTTGATAAAATGTGTTAAATTTTTATAATTTTTGTACAAATTTGAAATGTGGATTTATATGGTGTGTGTTATATATTGCGCTAGGCTTTTATACAAAAATATTAAACATCGAATAAACAAAGTAATATAGCCAAAACTGGTAAAAGTAAAAAGTTTCTATTATTTCTTCCACCACTCAATATCGATGGCTGAGTGGAAGATCGACCTATCTCGGCAGCCAGTTCGAAAACTCCCTATCTCAGAAAACTTTTCAAGAACGCCCTACTTCAGAATTTGATTCAAAAACGCCCTATTTCAGAATTTTATTGAAGAACACCCTATCTCAGGATTCGGTTCAAAACGCCCTATCTCAACAAGAATACATTGAAAATAAGCTGAGATAGGGCGTTTTTGAATCGGCAGCTGGAATAGGGCGTTCTTCAA